TCCCAGCAACCTCTGCCTTCCCCTTCCATACGACATAGCCACGCCTACCGTGACCCCCACGGTAGGGCTTTTTACGCAAGCTCGGCCATCCTGGCCTTCGCTCATAGATTCGCCTGGGTTCCCAGTTCTTTTATGAACATTCCCGCCAGGTCTTTCGATTTAGTTCAGCCCAAGGTGCTCTAGAGAGGTGCGCGTCCACTGAGGTCTAGCCCCTGCAGTGGATTTTGCCCGACAGCTTTATCCATAGCTAGATGAATTCAACACAAGCAAGGACAACATCATGATCACCAGCGCGTAGCCGTTTGTGCCTGTGATAATTATCACGCCGATAGGAGCCTTGCGCTTCCAACAGGGCCTGTCATGGAACAAATGGTGACGAGATTGGCTTGCTAGTGGTGAGACGATTATCTGTGGGGGCTTGGGGTGTCAGGTACCAAACGAACCCAGATCGTCAACTAGCCAGTGTGTAGTGTCGTGACCCTTTAGGGACTTCCCTGCGTGCGGAATAAAATCCATCCATCCATCCATCTGTAAAGGGTCCCACGCAAATTGCAGCCAAGGCTACGTGCATGGAGGAAGCGCTACACAACCGCTTGAGGACATCTCATCGTCAGTGTTCAGACATTGGATCATAACCGAGCGTCGCGCGACCAACCAGTAATATATCCTGTCCAGGATCTGCCACTCTTCTGCCACCCTCGGTAGAGGGTGCCAGTGGCGCTCCTGGGAATTTCGCAGTGGCACCTTGTCTTCTCCGATGTCCAACATGCAACACCTTCACCTGCCATCCTGCGCTCTGCTTTGACATAAGACCGACCATACAGTACACTACCTTACATTAGTCTTGGTATTGACACAAGACACCCTTGTGTCAGGCTTACTGGTGCCGACTCACGCTGTTGGCTGTACAAGATTCCCATTTATCACACGCCATTTCACCACCATGACACAATCATCGTCAGCAGAGCCAATCAAACTCTCTTCTTCCGCCAAGCGTAAGGGTAAGCAATCTTCTTTCCTTTGACGATCAACTCATCACATGAAAAGCCACCGTTGTACCTAACATATCTTCCTCCGATAGGCATTCGAAACGTTTATACTTTGACGCCCTCACAACTTGCTCGCAAGCGAGCCACCGACAGAGAGGCTCAGCGAGCTATCCGTGCCAGAACTAAAGAGCACATTGAGCGCCTTGAAAGAGAAATTGAAGATCTCCGAGTCAGCCACGTCAGTGACAAGACTGTCCAAGAACTTTTGCGTCGGAACAAGGCTCTCAATGATGAACTTTGCCAGCTCAGGCGGTCCATGGGAATATTCATGACATTGTCGCCTCACTCGACCTCGGCCCCCGCTATTGAACATGCTGGAGCTTTCCTTGCGTCACCATCGCAACAACCGCCAGCCCCGTGCCAATCAGCCTGCAACCAGGACAACTACAGCGCTGTCCAAATTCCTAAAATGTCCCTTCTCCCATATGGACGAGCTTATTACATCCCAAATTACAATCAAACTACTCCGCACTCCGTGCCCATGCCCAACTGCGAGGCCTGGACATCCGCTATCCCTTCCAGCGTCCCCAGCCTGTCGCCTTCAGTCAATACCGATGTGTGCAGGCTAGGAAGCCGCTACATTTCCACTAGCGTGCATACCTCCCTAATGAGCACTAACGGCATCAGCCTCCTGGCCAGCAATGAGGTCAAGATGGAGTTTGAGGGCATGCACAATATGATGGCTGCCCAATGTGATATACAGCAGACCCAGCGACAGCGAAATCAGGATTGGAACATGTACGTTGATGATGTGTGCCAGCTAGGAAACATAACACAGCACGGCCTGAGTTTGTCCAACGCCCCTCGACTTACTCCGCCCACAAAGCAAGACTGAGCTGGATAAAAAGAGAAAAGACGAGAGGTCTCTTACGATAACACAGCACTAATTCATCACTTCCGCGAAATTAATCCCCCAAAGCCACCCGCCAAGCGATGAGACGCAAGGCCCGACGGTGAACACTGGTTCCCCCGCCGAGGAGCTGTAAAGCCTGGACCCCATCGAAGACCGTATCCAAGAGGGAGTTCAAAGCAGCACCTGTCCGATGGGGAGATGTCTAGGAGATCACACAGCAAGGGTTAGAAATACGAATACGTGAAATGAGTAATATCAAGGGCTATCTTGGATGAGGCGGCAATGATGCAAGCAAGGCTCTGGTGCAGCAACGCGTAGGTTAAAACTGGGTTCATTTGAGAAGCCAATACCTGATGCGATATGTTGTGTAAAATGGTCTTTTTATATTTTGTGTGTAAGCGGATAGTCACAGATGGGCGAGTCGGCTGTTTGTTTTACAGCAGGGTGTGTTTGCTGAACTACGAGCAAGGTGACGAAGAAAACGGAACGGGTGGTACAATGTGTATCCTACTCGTTCTTGGGAAGCGATACACGGGCATGACTCCTATCCGGGCATGACTTTTGCTACTTGTAATTGGTCGTCATTTTTCCCGTTAACAGACCTTGGATGCTACTGCCTCCATCTTGAGAGTACCACGCGATGCATATCGCAGTTCCCCATATGTGTGAGTTTGTAAGCCGGTGCATCCATCCATTCCCAGTTCTGCGTAGTTAACTGCAGCACATCTGCTATTGGGATGTAACTGTCGGTTCGCAGGCGGTAATCACTAGCTACTGCAGTAGTCATATGATCATTGTTCTTCTTGTTCTTGTTTTTTTCTAGAGCTTGAAGCTATCACTAGGAAAGGAGGTGCTGCAATCTTAGTCACGTGCACCTCTACAGGGGAAGGTGTTGTTAGGGGCAACTAGGCTTGAGCCCGTAAGCGATTTACATCGCGACAGTAACCCTTGTATGCCAAATGTTGCCGAATGCGATCTTGAGTCATCCAAGGCAGACGACTCTAGAAGTAATCTGTGGTCGAGCCCAGGTCAGGCTCACTGGTGTCGGGTAAATTCCTTCAGACAAGAGGACAATCTGTCCGAATTAGCACGAGACGGCCAGGCCATTATTTCGGCACCCTGCATGGCTGACTATTGCTTAAACTTTGTAAATGTCAAGTGATGCAGGCGGTGACTGTTCGTGATAGAAGACTGCCGAGCGTATGCATTAGTGATTTGTGGCTGCGGCATTCAGTGTTTCTCCGTGTGGGATGTAGCGAAGTCTGATTAAAGTGGGAGCAGCCAAGAGGACTCGCCTCAAGAAACGGGAACGGACATTCTCGACGGGGACAACAATTGGCCAATCGGAACTTGGGATTAGCGACCAATTCTCCCTTTCGGGTAGTTTGGCAAAAACGGACAGGTCACCTGCCACTTGGTCCAGGTGACCTTTCCATTTTTGCCAAAACTACCCGAAAGGGAATATTAGCCCTTGTGTCCAGTTACGATTGGCCAACTGTCAGCCCCGTCGAGGATGCCGAGTTCCTTTCTTGAGATGAGCATCCTTGGCTGCGCCCACTCTAATTAGACTTCGTGTCAAACATTATAAGTGGGACGGATTACTCCAAAAGGAGAACGCTTTTTTTTGTGAGACACTTCGCCACGTCTCATATGAAGAAACACCGAATCCCACAGCTATAAGTCGCAACATGCATGAGCTTGGCAGCCTTCCATCATGAACAGTCACTGCCTGCATCACTAAGCTTTTATCAAGTTTAGGCAACAAGTCAGACATATGGGGTTGCTGAAATTACGACTGCTGGTGCCCGACCTACCATTTTGTTAGGGAATTTGACCCCTGACCCTCTTATTGTAGCTAGAATATAGGCTACTATTAGAACTGCTGGAAAATTTCAGTAGGCCTACACTTTTGCTCTTTATAGCACAACACTTATAAACAGCTCTCAAGAGATTTTGCTTGGACGACAGCACCGAAGACTCCACTTCAGGGCCTTCAACTCATCTATGCATTTCATGCAAGACTCTTGACCCCAGATTCTAAACTCATTTTGCTTGCCAAATTCCCCACACTCCCTCTACGGCTGTGTGCATTCAAATGTAGCTCCCACGGATTGCCTCCGCTACCAAGATTTTGGACCAGTTAATGGGGACCTTCCGACGTCGGGTCTCTTCTTTGATGCAATGCCTGGCCTCTCCTCTGGTTGTTCTGCATCTCAGCGATCCTAGCTAATCTCGTTGTTTCCTTAAGAAGAATGGCATTTCTGATTCCCTGGACGGAAGAGTAGATCTCGCATGACATAGCTACCCTTCTTCACCGTCACATACTTAGATTGGTACAACCAAGTCCCGCATGTCTTTTGATGAGGTATGCCCGAGTCATTGTGTAGTTTCGTGTTTATTGTCACACCTGTAGGTGCCGAAACGACCAAGCAAATGCGCCCCACTTCATCGCCCATCGCATCCATGCTGCTCTGACAGAGTATCCTTCCAATCAACTCTTCCAACCGGCTGGCCGATTCAGTTGGTAAATCGGCTGTTCCAACCAACCAATCTGTCAGATATAACTATGAATAACCAAGCTCATAAAGATACAATATATTTGTGTGAGTAGCGCAGTGGTCACTCTGACAGATACCTTGAGGTACACTGGAAAGAAGAATGGGCGGCGACTGCTGTCGAGCAAAATCCACTGAGGGGCTAGACCTCAGTGGACGCGCACCTCTCTAGAGCACCTTGGGCTGATCTAAATCGAAAGACCTGGCGGGAATGTTCATAAAAGAACTGGGAACCCAGGCGAATCTATGAGCGAAGGCCAGGATGGCCGAGCTTGCATAAAAAGCCCTACCGTGGGGGTCACGGTAGGCGTCGCTTGTCGTATAGTTGGGGAATGCAGGAGTTGCTGGGAACCGCTATACTGATAATTAATAACAATCAATGGCCGAAATCAGCAGAGCCTCTGAAATCTAGGCTGAAGCTGGTTACGCGGTCATCTTTGCCACCCAGGTGGCAATGGTAGTCGTAATACTGCTGCCTAAAGGCAGCAGTATTCCAAAGGTGTTAAGGATCTGGGGTTCCCTCGGTGGAGGAAAGAAGGTAGAGACAGAGGAACAATGTCATGAATGAATTTACAAGAATTGGAACGTCTCTCAATGACTATAGCTAATACACGTCTCAAAACGCGACAACTGCCATTGGCTGTGCGCGAATAATCTAGGAGGAGTAATACAAGACCACCCACGACCAGGAAATCGCTGTGTTGGCCCAACCGCCGGCCGAAGCGGTTGGCTTGCGTCACAGACAGCCGAACGGGCTCGACCGGCTTCTGGATGAGATGGTGGTGTCTGAGGGCATAACGAGAGATGTGGATGACTTCGAACATTTTATCCGTGCCAAGCCGATGAAGATTGAGATTTGCCCTCTGTTCTGGCGGTGCCAAGGAGAACAACAAATGGGCATACCGCGTCTTCGTCGGATGACCATCAATATTCTATCCGTTACCCCCGGCCCAGCGGATCATGTAGCTATATCTCAACGACGTTTATAAAATACTACGTCACACCTTGCACTTTAGAGCAGTGGTGCAAGGCGTACAATCAGCCGAGGCTGCAAGTCTGCGGTCAAGGTAAGGCAGTCACCAAAAAATAAAGCATCTACAGACTACTATCATACATTCGCTACGTCATCTACACCTTAGTAGTATCAAGTGGAGTTACGTAGCCGGGTAGCCCCGTGGACTTTCTTATACGGATTCTGAGTGAGAACCTGCCAGCTCCTAAGCCTTTGGTCCCTCATTTTCATCTTGGTGCCCTTCCGGGGGGGATGTGTATGTCAGATGATTGCGTCAAACGGGGCATCCAGCATCAAACCATGCAGCGTTTTTACACGGGAGACAGCCACATAGCTTAAACCTGTCTGAAAGTCACGGCAGGACAGATCTGTCACGATCTTGTCTCCAGTGATGCTCTGCGACTATGAACTGTAATGGCATAGCATACGATCAGGGGAAGCTGAGTGCGAGTGCAGAGAGTGGCTCCAATGAAGAAGTCCCTGACTACTGGCAGAATCGGGACGATCTTCCTACCATCCGCGATGGTCAGGAATGCCGGTCCGGTATATTTGTCAAACTCCATCATGATCACTGTTAGAAATACGGTGGCTCAATGTCACAGCGAGATATATATATATATTTCTGAAGGTAAAAAATTAAGTTGATTGCTGTTTTTGCATACTAGAAGCATATCATTATTTATTACTTCCAGAATGCTGCTGCCTGCAAGGCAGCATCATACTGAATGGTGGATGGCTGCACACAGTGCGATTTGACGCCACAAATCTGACACGAAGTTAATTAAAGTGGTAGCAGCCAAGAGTGCTCGTCTTAAGAAACGGAAACCGGGGCGGCCGATAGACCAATCGGGACTCGGGGATAGCGGCTACTTCTCCCTTTCGGGTGGTTTTGACAAAACCGGAAAGGTCATCTGCGACTAGTACCTTAAGCCCTTGTAAGGTTTAAACAGTATTTCAGCCTTGCAGGGGTGCTGAATCGTGCCCGTCCCATTTCTTTATTAGGGGATTTTGAAACATCATGAGATTTCGCTTAGGCGACAGCACCTAATACTCCAGTTCAGGGCCTTCAATCATCTACACATTCATGCTTTATTGCACAATTTGCAATGGGCATGACCTCAAACTCTAGATTTATTTTTGCTTGCTCAGTTCTCCACACTTCTTTCGTGGTTGTTCGCATGCAAAAACGAACTCCCACGGATTGCCTCTGCTACCAAGATTCTGGACCTGTGAGTGGGTGTCACAGCACCATCACGACT